TTTATATTATAATACAATATTACTTTTATTTGTTGATAATTTATTTTAAAATATTAAAATTTAATTTATAAATAATTATGTTAGATAAAAATTAAATTTAATAAAAAAATATAAAATTTTTATCGTAAAAAAAATAAAAAGAAAAATTCTGTATAAAAATTTATATTTAATTTATAAAGTGAAAAACACTCTCCCAAAGAATTAAAATTTCATGTATAATATATAGAGTTTGATATAAAAAAAAATGACACCGCCCTTATTTTAAGTTTAACTAATAGTATTTCATATACTTTCCACAATAATAAGAAGGAATTCGGAGTTATAGTTATACCCGAACTCAGACGCAAGCAAAAGCGGAACCCTAATCGCGGGAAGCAACAACAATGGCATCGTCGTCGGCGAAGCGATGCCACTACGAAGTGCTGGGCCTCTCCCGCGACTGCGCGCCCGACGAGATCCGGTCGGCGTACCGGCGGCTGGCCCTCCAGCGCCACCCCGACAAGCTGGTGAAATCCGGCCTCTCCCCGGAGGGCGCCACCGCCCAGTTCCAAGAGCTCCAACACGCCTACGAAGTCCTCTCCGACCCAAAGGAGCGCGCTTGGTACGACTCCCACCGCTCCCAGATCCTCTTCTCCGACCCCACCTCCCTCTCCTCCTCCCTCGTCCCCGACCTCTTCTCCTTCTTCTCCAACACCGTCTTCTCCGGTTACTCCGACACCGGCAAGGGCTTCTACAAAGTCTACTCCGAAGTCTTTGACAAAATCCACGCCAACGAGATCACCTTCGCGCGAAAATTGGGCCTCGGCGTTGACGCCGTTAAGAAAGCCCCTCTCATGGGGAACTTGGATTCCCCCTACGCGCAGGTTACTGCGTTTTATAGTTACTGGTTAGGGTTTTCGACGGTGATGGATTTTTGTTGGGTGGATGAGTATGATGCTATGGCGGGGCCGAATCGGAAGTCGCGGAGGCTTATGGAGGAGGAGAATAACAAGGTGAGGAGGAAGGCGAGGAGGGAGTATAATGATACTGTGAGGAGGTTGGGGGATTTTGTGAAGAAGAGGGATAAGAGGGTGATTGATATGAGGGTGAAGAGGAGTGAGGAGATGGAGAGGAAGAAGGAGGAGGAGAGGGAGAGGAAGAGGAGGTTGGAGAGGGAGAGGAAGGAGAGGGTCATGGCTTATGAGGAGCCTGAGTGGGCTAGGGTTGAGGATGAGGAGGTGGTGGAGTGGGATGAGGAGGAGGAGGAGAAGAGGAATGAGAAGGAGTTTTATTGTGTGCTGTGCGGGAAGAAGTTTAAGAGTGAGAAGCAGTGGAAGAATCATGAGCAGTCCAAGAAGCATAAGGAGAGGGTTGCTGAGTTTAGGGATTCAATTGGGGAGGAGGAGAGGTTGGAGAGTGAGGGAGATGGGGTTGGTGATTTGGAGGAGAGGATAAGGGATGGTCTCAATGTTGAAGAGGGGGGAAGTAGAAATGGGGATGAACTGAATGATGATGGTGACGAGTTTTTTGATGCCCCGCGTGCGAATGAGGGGGAAGAGGCTGGTGTGTCGGTTAATTTTGGTGATGATGATGAGGAAGATGATGAAAATGGTGTTCTGGAAGCAATGGTAGCTGGGCACAAGAACAGAAAACCACCTGCTTCATCAGGCAAACCAAAGGCTTCGGTAGCCCCATCGATGCAAATTGAAAATGAGGGCGATGATGAGGAGGAAGATGAAAATGGTGTTCTAGAAGCAATGGTGGCTGGGATCAAGAACAGAAAACCACATGCTTCAACAGGCAAACCAAAGGCTTCTGTAGTCCCTTCTCCGCAAATTGAAAATGAAGATGATGAGGTTGGCTCTATGGAATATAACAACCGGAAGAGTGCAAGAAAGAGACGTGGAGCCAAGAAAGAGAAGGGTAGGAAAAATTGGGAAGAATCTCAGGGGGCTGCTGCTAGTGGCGATGGTGAGAATATAAACACTAATGGAAATGAAAATTCTTATGAAGAGGAGCCTTGTTCCCAACATTTTGTGGAAAATGAGGATAATGGTAAAGAGAATGAGCAGGTTGGTAGAGATAAGAAGATTACAAATCAACCTGCTTATAAAAGAGGAGCCGCCGGCAAGGACACAAAAACGAAAGCAAAAGTTTCATCCAAAGGAAGAAAAGCAAAGGTAAGAACTTCAATAGTTTCCTGAGCTTGAAACCTGCATTATTTTTCCAATGGTTTTACCTTCTTAATATTGCATATGGTAGACTGGTTAAATTCGGACAAAACATATGTTTAGTGCATTTTAAAAGTTGAATGAAACCTGAAGTAATGTTTTATATTGTATATTAGTTAGTGTTGTGTGGATTAACTTTCAATTCTACTCAAGGTAGTAAAGATCAAGATTCTAGTTCGACTAGGAAAAATGTCACAAAATTGTAACTTGTGGAATCATAACATAACGCAAGATTCTACTAAATTATAAAATCTAAATATATGCATATAAATTCTTATATGCATCTAACATAATATAAATAAGAGGGAAAAAGTCCATCATAACACATGGAATACTTAATTTAATCTTAAATGCATACATGGACTACTGTTCATGTGCTGAATGTTCGCGTCATGATTGTGATGCCTTTCAAATATTGATTTAATTATATTAGTCATTACTGACTAAGAATTAGGATTAAATAATACTAAATAGGTTTAGTTTGAGTTACGGGCTAAATTTCTATTAAGCCCAAAATGAAAAAGAGACCTTATAATATTTGGTCCAAAACGAAGTTGCATAAAAAACTTTGCTGTCCAAAAAATATGAAAAACTGAACGGAAGCCTTAAAAAATGGGAGACGTATGTACTGCCACTCCTACCGATTATACGTTTTGGACGACGATTCTGCGTGTAGACAAACACGCGTATGAGTGGTGAAATGGTGAAATCATAGAATCGTCCGATTCTATGTCCCTACACATGATTTTTCCACATGCGCATGATTTTAACTACCTTGATTCTACTAAAATCAATTACAAAACCATGAAGAAGGCCAAAAAAGTAACAAATAATTGCTTCAACCTTTTCAATTTTCGCCATGATTTTAGGGGTTAGAATTGATTCTAGGAGGCATCCAAACACACTATTAGTAATTACTTGAATATAGTGTTTGATTGGAAGGAAATGAAAGGTAGAATTAAAGGGAATAGACCAGAACATACTTAACCATTTTGTTCTCACCATATGACAAGCAATGCCTGGAAGTAGATGACAATCATGGCTTGTTCAGCTTTCCTATTTCATGTTTATTGTCTGGTAGTTTTTCTGTAAGATACGGTCAGTGTTTTCTCTGCTGTATCCAGGATAATATTTGATTAATTAAGCTGATTTTTGTGCTCTATAATCTGATTTTTATTTTGTTTCTTCAATAAGGTGTCATCAAAGAATGCTGACAATATTTGTGAGGCTTGTGGAGAGGAGTTTGACTCAAGGTAATTTAAGTCTATCAAATTTTATGGTGTTCTAATGTTAAATCATTTGTTATCAGACTACACTGTTAAGACAACTTCGTCTGATTGATACACAGGAATAAATTACATAAACATCTTGGCGAATCTGGGCATGCGACATTAAAAGGTCGATAAAGGAAACTACAGTTGGAATTATTTAAGCGCTCCCCAAGTATTATTCGAGTTCTACATATTAGCCTGTTCCAATTATAGGTCCATTCTTTAATTCTTAATATAGTGTTAGAATCATTTTCAAGTAAGCCTTCGGCAGAAAACATTCTGTTATTTATACCACAGTTGAGAAAGATATATACAGCCACATTTTCAGTTTCATCTCCCAAATTGAAAAAAAAAATTCTTTAAAAGAGTCAATGTGATGATTTAGTGAAAGAGATTGAATGCTTTTCTTTTGAATTTTTAAAATATTCAATGCACTTATTTCAATGAAAAAACGGCACGGTTCAGGTTCAGGTCCAAGTCCCCATTCACCATTCGTTTTATGAAGGTTTATTGCGGTATTTGTCATTTTCGTTATGGTGCCTGTCATGGCCATGGTTTTGTGAAGCTTTATGGCAGTTATAATGGTTTTTTTTGTTTGTTTGAAAAATCTTATTTTTGGGCTTCAACCCAGGCCCAAATGGAGTGAATCTTTATGTTTTTTTTGCCATGTCTCATTTCTCTCTCGTAGTTGAGAGTTTTGCAGTTGAAGAGGAGGTCATGCGAAATCTGTCTTAGAGTGGTTCAAACATGAAGTATCATGTTAGGTGGTACACCAGTGAGTGAGGCGTAAAAAAAGTATCATTTAGGTGTTTTGCTTGATTCCAAGCAATGTGAACAATAGGATATATAATTTTAAATTGAATGATTAAGATGGTCTAGACTTAATTTACATCTTTACCCTTTTATTATACAATTAGATGATTAATGTTAGGAGTTGAATTGGTTTTGATGCAGAAATTGTCTCCCTCCATACTTTCTTATAACTAATCATGTTAATTTGTTTCGTACTCGCAATAACTTTCGGGTTCAAAATCTATTGTGTTGAGAGTGGTCGTTAGTTTTAGAGAAAACTGTCACAACAGTTACGACGGCAGAGCGAGAGGTAGTGTCGAAGAAGCATTACTATAAAATTCAATTAGAGTTATGAGCGATGGATAGGAACGCTAAGAGTGTTGAAGAGATGCTGCCCAATGAGATCGATGAAGAGGCAATGGAGCAAAGAGGAGTTCAATCATGCATAAAAGGACAAAGTAGGAGAATATTATACAAAATGAGGAATAATCAAGCTTTGCTGCCAAGAAATTCTACTAGACTTAGTGTAGTTGGAGAGTATTAGTGGGGATGGTGAGAACCAATTTCTATAACAATGAACTCCATGGAGAGACTTTTAAGATTTTTGTATTTACAAACACAAATATTTGTATAAAATAATTTTTAAATATTTATCAAAAATAAATATAAAAGATATTAATTAATAAAATATTATTATCATGACTGTTTTCCTACCTCACACAAGCTTCATGGTAGAAACATATCTCATTTAAACACTTGTTACAAGACTAACAACTATCCCAGTTTTCACACCAGAACCTTTGTTGTCCACTTGTCCCTATAACGTTAATTAACATCCCAAAGAATAACCATTCCACGTTTGGATTCACTGAGCATCGGAACAAAGGTTACATACTTTGTAAACCTTAGATACGTAGCACCTTATGCATTCTTGTCACGTGGCACAGTGGCACAGTTGAGCTTAACGCCTGCCTGCCAAGGAACTCCCATTCCTATATAAGAGAACCCACATATTATGGCATGCATGATGCATCTATTCCTCATTACATACTTCTGGCTCATACAATGACTTTGACATCAAAATCCTTACATCACCACCGAAAATCATTATCAGAGATATTATTTTTCCCTCACCTCACAACAGTTAACAAGTGAAAAGCGCTTTAAAAACAAAAAAAAAAACCTATAATCGTTGTTATATATAAAGCAACAATTGAATAATTTAGACAATTTCCTTGTCTTCAATAAATATTCTAGTTACCATCAAATGTAGGTACCACTCAATATGCATGCAATACAGGCACCACCGTTGTAGCAAAAAGTGTAGCTCACGCACGAGGCGCACACTAAACTACGATAAATCTGCAGAATCCAGAGCACTACCGGGAGGTGGTTAGTTATCCAATATCTACAATGGAACAATATTTCTGTACAACTGGTTCTTGAAAATCTTACACCCAAAGCAAATAACACGCCTATGCTAATCACAACGATTTAGCAGCACCTTCTATGTAAGCGATGGCTTCTGCCTCCGAAAGCTGTTCTCCCTCTACCAACCCTTTTATTAAGGTGTTGGCATACGCTTTATTTGGGGCACGTACTGGTAGCTTCCCAGATTTGAACCGTTCAATATCAAGAAGCGTACACCTGAGTAGGGTAAAGATCGTGCTTATAGCCTTATACAGACCAACAAATAAGTCACCGAAATAAACAACTACTAAGCATAATATGTTACTCACGTCATGGTAATTATTGGAATCTCCTGCTCCTTTCCTAAGTAGACAACATTACCATACCAACCACTCTGCACGACATTATCAAAAAAGTCATGGCCATACGCTCACAATAAAGTAAAAGAGAATATAAAGTAAATGCAACAATTACTATCAGAAAAAATGAGTAGGGACAGGGGATACATACCTTGACAATCTGCTGGGAGTTGAACTCCTTGTCAGAGATAGCATTCAGGGTAGTTATATCAAATAAGGGAGCGCCCGCGTTAAGGCTTAAACCATTTTCCTGAAATAAAATATCATTGAACTGCTCTAGCCTGTAACAAATGTGGACGTGAATGTAAAGTCAATACCTCCATTGAATAATGATCCAAGAATGTTATGCTCTGACACGAAAGCTTTAAAAGAGACGGATTTTCTGCTAATAGAAGCAGATTTGAACTAGAGAGATTTACTTACGAAATTTTGTACAGGCACATGTAGGTGTTGTGCTGAAAGTTATTCTCAGGATTAAGAAATGCAACTCCTCCCGGACCCCATGAATGCGATGAATCACGACCAAAAAATATATGACAAGGGAAAGTCTTCCACAGGATCTCCTTTGGCATTGTTCTGTTCGCTGAACCAGAACAGTGTCTCTGCATACCTTCCACCTGATGGTCATTCTCAAAATCTTCATAAAATATAACAAACAGAAGAAACAAAGCTACAGAAACGAAAGAATGGAAGCTAGAAATGTAAGGAAGGCTGTAAATTCTTTGTAAACTGAACAACCAGTAAATATTGATCACCCAAAAGCCAAAAGGCACGAGACTTTAATCTTGTCAAATGAGAGAAGTTCACTCTTTTAATCTTTATATTATCACTGCAATCAAATTACAAAGTACCTTTTTCCGAATAAAAAAGAATTCCATGGCTGGACTACCTTTCTCTTAATAGCAATTTGACAGCATTATGAAAAAATGGTAATGGCTAACAAAAAAGAATAACTTTCCAAAATTTGACCAAATATATGGCATATATGCCAATGGAATGTGTGAAACATAATCATTTGATTCATAACTTATTGTTTATCAGTTTATACATTTATAGCATGTTTGTTTTGGTGTTGGGGCCCCCTAAACTGTTTGACAGCAGCAATACTTTTTTGCTTTGCTAAAACCAAGGTGATGATGCCTCATAAATTGGGGTTTATCTTTAAAACTGAGTTTCAACTCTTACACGAAGAGACCATTAGTAAATATAAAAAAGCAATATGACTTGAATGTTGCATTACCTGTCCACCTGCTAGGTAGCAATGCAATCTTGCTTTCCACATATTTGATCCATATGAGGCATACCATATATAAACATTTGATAATTCAGATCGCCAAGAACTAGAAACATCAGTCTCTTCATCTGCATCAAACATAGCTTGTCATGTAATAAATAAGTGAAGAAAAGGTCTCCAAAAAAACCATCCTTTTGTCAATGTATTGAACCATCTCCAGTGGATCCAAACCAAATCCAGAGGACAAAAAACTAACAGCCTTATGGAACACACCAATGGCCACAATTGAAGCAGTTAAAGTTATATATTGTGAAAAAATATTAAAACTTCTGGGGTGCTTTTCAGATTTTAAAAGATATACCAACATCAACTTTGAGCTAACTACCAATTAGTTAGAAAGCAACAGCTAGACCTAATAATTACTGATGTCCAATACGCAAAATAAAGCTACCATGTAAAAAACTTAAACAGAGTAAAACTACTCTAATACTGCTATGGAAAAATCTCTCAAGTCTTATCCAAATATTTAAGACCCCTTGGTAACCGCTAGCTCATGATAAACTCTTGGTTCCAACCAAAACGAAGTACAACATTAAAAAAGATCCGCACAACACAATTTCCAATATTTGTTAACAAGTGGAAAAAAAAAATTACAGAAGAAAAGACCTAATAGGTAGATAAAACAGTAATTCTGATGACTAAAAAGCACCAATCAGTTAAAATTATATTTTGCGAAGAAAATATTAAAACTTTTAGGGTATTTCTCAGATTTTAAAAGCTATCCTGGGATCTTGGTTACCGGCATCAACTTTCAGATTGGAAAATGGTTTTATGACATCCTCAAGAAGTTCTCCAAGATTTTCTGAACTTGGTGCACCATTATCATCCTCAGCCTCGGAGTCTGAGCTCGAGATAAGAGTATGCTGCAAAGGCAAGATAAATAAATCAGTAAAAACTTTAATGAGTATTTGCCCATATAAAGGATGGAAACAAGATACATCAACACACAAGGGAATGGATATAAGATATACAAAAATTAAACTAAACGAGAATTTTAGTTCCTCCAGAATTTTGCACAATTCCTCACATGAATGACTCATAATTATTGGATCACTATACTCAAATGAAAACTGTAGTGTAGCCAAAATTGTATGTATTTGACATACATACATGAGAAAAAATAAGATTGCTAATCATTTGATCAAAACAAAGATTCCTACAAAGGATGAGTAATGTCCCGCATATTAACTCAACTACCATGATACTTTTCAAAATAAAACAGCTTTCCAATGAAATGTCATTATTTGCTTCAAATTAGGTAAGCCAACAAAAGCCATTAGGCAGTGTGACAATAAAAATTTGCTCATTACAAAATACTTAAATATGATTTACACCATAATCAACCCTAATATCCAATTTATAGTTCTCATGAAACTAAAAATTACACAAAATTAATTAAAATACTTGAACACTACTTGATTAGGAATATTTAATTTGTATTTCTCACTTATATAGCCTTGCACAAAACTTTTAAGTGATTTATACTCAATAATAAAAAAGAAAGTATATGTATAACATTGCAGATTTGCTAAATTAATTATGAAAAAACATCAATTATGGAAAGTAAATTACTGGAGGAGGCGCCATTTGTGAGATTATCTTTGGCGGTAATTCACATGCAAGTGTAGGCCAAAACGGATTTAACTGCTGGCGAACCTGCAAAATATGCATGCCACTTTAGCACTAAAAGAATCTACTGTAAATCTTAAGTTACATAAATCTTGTGTAACTGGTAGGAAAGAAATAATTTCTTTAATCTCCCTAACAGAGGGTAAACAACATATATATCAGTATCCCATGTTCTTACCGCTTGAATCACCCGCCATGTAGACTCAAATGGATAGGCCTCTGAGGATCCAGTAACAGGCTTGTCTTCTAGCAAAACTTCCAAACAAGAATGCATTGATTTTGCAATGGAATCAAGATTATATCCTCCTTCTAAAATCAATACAATCCTCCCTTCAGCAAAATTCATCAACTGAAGTATAGAAGGGAAAAACATACGTAAGAGTTACAGATACAATGATCAGTGTATTAAACTTGTCGCAGATATTTTTTCCAAATTTTGAAATTAAAGAAAAGTACATCATAAATATTTAAAAAAAAATGGCAGCATAATTGATGAAAATCATATTCCAAAAATAACCATTATACACACAGCTAAATATTTAATTCACAGTTTCGCTACTAACTACACTTATCTGCAAGTTTTGTTTTATCAAGAAAGTAGCATACTAGAAACAATAATCGTATGAAGGAAGTAATCAAGAAAAATAAAAAGTAACCTTTTCCAACAAAACAGAATAACCAAATGGTGAGACACGACATCCTCCCAAAGGGTCACCAACAGCTGTTACATTTAGAAAAGCAAGAAGTATTACTTGTTACACTTAAAAATAATAATAAATTACCATATCTACCGACCAAATGCAAGGATCAGCCCCTTATTTCACAAGTAAACTAGACTTCAAGAACAAATGAATGCTAACAATCCTCCAAAGCATTATAAAAAACAAGTGTTCTCCCCTCCCAAAAACATAGAAAAAAATCTCAAATGTAAAAATGACGGACCTGCATCAAATCCAGCAGAAACTATAATCATGTCTGGGTTAAATTCTTTGGTAACGGGAAGCAAGATATGGTCCCACACTGCAAAGTAATCAGCATCACCACATCCCCTATTCTCCCAGGGGACATTTATATTATATCCTGCACCCGCTCCTTCTCCAACCATGGTATAAAATCCATCATCATTAGCCGGATAAAAACTCCCAAACTCATGCCTGAATAAATAGAAAAGTTGAAGTGTTTGAGAATCAAGTAATTAAGTAAGAAAGTGATAAAAACCGTAAAGGCACTACACAAAATTTATCTTAACTCCTTGAATTGAAAGCCCATCACAAAGACCCAACCAAAAATCACTAGTTTAAAGAAGGGGAAACAATCTAGCAGTCAAGCCCCATTAAATTACCAAACAGAACCACAAGAACCATAAGCTATTTTCTTAACAGATTTAGAAGTACCAAAAAACAATTACAAGATCACCAACCAGTAAAGCTTACAAAAAAATATGTCAAAATAATTAACACACCTGTGAACAGAGAAGAATAAAACTCGAGAGTCATTCCAGAACATTTTTTGAGTACCATTTCCATGATGAACATCCCAATCAACAATTAAAATTTTCTTCACACCTAATTCTGGCTGTCATATTCAGATGGCAAGACCAGAAAAATACAGGTGGTAATAAAGCAACTGAATGTTAAAAGGCTTAAAACTCTTTGTAAATATGGAAATAATAGTAGGTGTTACATTACTCACTCTTTTATCTAAGAGATATCTTGCTGCAATTGCCACATTGTTGAACAGACAAAATCCCATAGCTTCATTTGGTTCTGCATGATGACCTGGAGGCCTAACAATGGCAACAGCAGAATCCAATTCCCTGCTTGCCACTCTTTTAACAACCTAGTCGCCAAAACATCTTCAGTTAGGATCATAATTTATATGAATACAGTACAAAGCTTATTTCAAACTGATTAAGCATTAAGACTGCATAGGGTTAGCTGTATTTACTGCCACAAAAAAAGAGGCAGTTTTGCAACTACAACCTATGTCAACCACATCACAAGGCAACAAAACAATCATATTATACACCAGAACATAGAGAGAATATATAGAAACAAAAAATATTTCTCCCTCTGTCAAATTGTAACAATTGAATGAATTTAATTTAACTGAAGAAATCTTAGCCAGAGAGACAAACATTATCAATTCCAAATTCCATAGCAGTTAGTAAATTTCCTATTATTCAAAACTAAGTATTAACAAAGTCCCAGAAAAAGCTTCAGTGATCTAAGATATTAAACACAGTCAAGACTATCAATAATATGACCAAAGACAATAACGGAAACTCGAAAACTGAAAACAGGCAATGATACAGCAAATTCACATGTAATGAACAACACAAATTCGCATGTATTTTACTCTGGTTTATTTCTTTCTAATACGTATAGCAGTAGCATAGGTTTTGTTTTCTATTTTAAACTCTTGTAACCTGCCAGTTTAGTTAGAGGTTTAGAGCCTGTTTGGATACAATCATACAAACATAGAAGTGTTTTTGAAAATTATTTTCAGTAGAGAAGTTTTCAAAAGCACTTTTAACTTATATCCACACAGACAGTTAGTTTTGTTAGAAACTTCTGCGAGAAGCTTCTACCACTCCTTTATTTCTACATAATCTGATTGTAATTGTACTGTAAGTAGGTTATCAATATATAATTCATTCTTCAAGAACCTATCCTTCTTTCTTCTCCTCCTTTCTCTATCTGATGTCAAACCTAATAACATGTAACTAACAACACAAAAATCTCAGAAGTTTGTATTATAATTATCACCTCTATAGCAGAGCCAGCAGCAAGGTAAGCAGACTCTGATGAACCTTCGTTGAAGTATATCGAATTCAATTTCGACGCAATATTGCGCCTCTGCGAATTGAACTTCTTTGAACTGATGTTCTTAATCAGATTCACATGATTTTTAGAATGCACTAACAGTATATGCTTGTCTTCAGCTTCATTGGCTTCCAGGATCACGCATCTGCAATACGAAAGAGTAAAACAGCGAGATCAACGAGAAATGCGAAACCCTAACGAAACGTGGAAGAATTACCGTTCGGTAATGCCGGCGCTTTGGAGTTTGTTCCAGATAGCTCTGATGCGATTTGGAGTCTCGGGATGGTCCTCGTCGTCTGGTATGTGGTGCTTGCACATCCTCTCGTCGTATAGTAAACCAACGCGGCGGCGTTGACCGCTGACAGTGCTTTCGCTACTCTTCTCGCTCTTGCGCTCCATGGTTTCTCTCTCGGCTACAACTACTTTTCAGTTTCTTTCTATCACTCTGCTTCGGAAGCCTCAACAGTGAAGGAAAGTAGAAGCCTCGAGTGATTTTGAAGTTGAAACGCGGTAATTTCCGCTTATATAGTACACCGAGACTTTGTTATCGGGATGGGACTCTTTTCTTTCTCCCTCCCTCCATCTCTAGGCAACAAAAATTAAGTATTATTTTTATTTTTAAATGTAACAATTAATTATTTTCTATTTATACAATTAATACTACTTTTTTAGAGAATACGTTTTCAAATATGAGACTTTTTTTTAGTTTTTTTATTATAAAATCATCTTCTAATTCTAATTGTAAGATGTATTAATTATATTTTCTATAAAAATACTCTTATTTAATTAATGATTTTTAATAAAATATAATAAATACTTAAAATTAATTAAATAAAAATTCACTCTTATTATGCTTTTAGAAGATACATAAATATTATTTCTCTCAAAATATAAAAAAATAGATTTTTTAATAATCATTTAATTTTATTTAGGGAAGCAAATTAAAAGTTTATACATATTCAATATTGTTGATAAATCTTATGATTTTAAAAAGGTAAAAGTATATTTTTCGTCTCTTATATTATTTATTAGTGTCAGTTTAGTCTCATTTTAATTAATTAAATCAATTTAGTCACACATTTTTAAAATGTATCTCAATGTTTGATTTTTCGTTTTCTCCGTTTAAATACTTAACGGATCTGACATGTGTCATGCCATGTGTCATGATGTCCAACCATGTGGCATGACAGCATGACATGTGACATGTCCTGTGACATATCCTTAAATATTTGAACGGGAGAGACGAAAAATCAAACATTGAGATACATTTTAAAGAAGTGAGACTAAATTGATTTAATTAATTAAAATAGGACTAAATTGAATTTAATAAATAATATAAGGAACGAAAAATATATTTTTACCTTTTAAAAAATGATATTCAAAAACGATGTGATGCATAAGATCTTAATTTACAATTTTGATATCGTCGTTATAATTTTAATAGATAAATAAATTTTGGCTCCCTTCATCAAATCTCTGATTAAGCATATCTCATAGGAAGAATATAATTAAATATTTAATATTATAAGTAAGTGCTTAGTTATTTTTTTTAATACTAAATGTCTAGTTATTTTTAAAATTGACGGTGATAAAGATTTAAAAGTAAATTTTAAGAGAAATGATTAATTATTTTTATTTTTCATCATTTAATAAAGAAGTTAAAGTAAACAAAATGAGTAGAAATAAATAAATACTTTTCCTCTCACAATCTCTCAAAAAAAGCCAAAAAGGAATGGATAATGTGAGGACCCAAAAGAAAAGAGAATGAAAAAGGAATTACTCTTTTTTTATTTGAGTTAATAGTAAATAATCGGCTATGATTATTTTATTTCTTTTTTACTTATTGGCATATGTGGATTTAGGTAACTCGTGAACCCAAACTAACATAAATTAACCCAATAAGTCCAGTTCAAATTTTTTTGAGAGTTTGAGTCATACCCAATTCAACTCAATCAAAAGTCGACACTATATGAGTTAGATAATGAGTTGTGTTTTTTATTCGTCATCTAATTTGACCCAATCTTATATTATAATAATATTTGCAAGTTAGTGATAATAATATTCAATACTCACTTTTTCTCATATTTTTTTCATCGCACAAATACAATGTTGGTTGTTCTAAATCTACAATTTTCTCTATTTTATTATCTTTTGTGTTAATGTTGGTTGTTTAGGTTGATAACAATGTAACAAATCAATAAATTTATTTTAAAATTTGGTTTATGTTTTTACTGAAATTTACTGAAAGTTGGTGTCTCATATATATGTGTGTGTGTGTGTATTGGATCTTATCTTTAGGTTTAGAGATAACGGTATGTGATCTCTAAAGATATCTAACGATAGTTATTGGAGATATTGTTATTGATAACATGATTTTTATTATGAAAGATATGATGCAAATATTATTCCTCAATCTTTGGAGATAAAATTGTCCAGGGTTTTATCTCTTAGACCCACTATGGGCTAGCTCATGTTCTATTTGACTCGCCCAAGCTAGGCACAAGGCAAACTTGACCTATCCAAGTTGGATCATACAACTTGTATCATTATTTGTTTTATATGTAAAAAATATTGTTTGCAAAAAGATATCAAAGATTTAGATATATTCTAAAATATTTAAAAATAAATGAATTTAGTTATATTGACCTGATTGACTTAACTCAATCTAACTTATTCGTAATTGGATTGAGTTAAATTAGATTTTATAATAAAAATGGACAAACTCAATCCAACCAAATTGTTGAATCTTGATTGACTCGAGTAACGAGTCCTTTAAAAGATGACGTCACACGACTTACTTGCATCATTTTTCACTATACTATACCATATTAAACAACCAAAGTAAAAAGTGTTATGATGTATCAAAAAGTCTCACATTGCTTAAAAGTTAAGACTAATAGTAATTTATAAATACTATTCCTTTTTAATTAGGTTTGAAAATGAGTCAAGCTTGGTTTGGTGGATAATATTTAACTTAGCTCAAAGCTTGATTCAACTTTGACAAGAACTATTTTTTCAATTTGAACTCGATTGAGTTCGAGTTCAATAGCAACTCGAATCACATGAATCAAGGGTCAAATTTTTTGAATCTTATACATTTTGAAATTTTAATTTAATAACAAATTTCAGATAAAATAATTCAATTGTTTAACTTAAAAAAAACATAACTTATTCTATTAAATTTTTAAGGTTTCAAGGTATGATGTGCTAAAGCTCGAAAGCTAAGATTTGTACAAGAACTCGAAAGCTTGTAATCGTGAAGACGCAAGAGCTTAAAAGCTCAAAATTAGGTAAGAGCTTAGAAGCTCATAATCGTGAAAACACGAGAGCTTGGAAGCTCGTAACTGTGAATACACAAAAACCCAACACCTAACTTAAAATTGAAAATTTTGAAGGTAAAAATGGGTGTTTGGGTGGGTAAATAGTTTTGAACGAGTTAAAAAATGGATAATATGAGTATTATCGAATGAGTTTGATTTTAAATTTTAGTACCATCAACATCCGAACCTAACCAACTATCAATGTTGAAAGTTAGAAAAATAAACTTTTATTGAGTTTAAACGAGAGGAATGATGGTGTTCCCAGAGTTGCAGACTTTAAATAAATGCATATTGCAGGTTTTAATTAATGTTGATTGACTAGTAGAGAGAAAAAAAAAATATAAGCAACAATTTAGTATCTCTTCCGTTTCAACCCTTAAGCTTCATCTTCCATAAAGGCACAAAAGCTCAAAAGTTTGTAACTGTGAAGACACGAGCTAGAAAGCTCAAATCACGCAAGAGCTCAAAAACTTGTAATTGTGAAGTCATGAGAGATTGGAAACTCATAATCACATAGGAGCTCAAAAGCTCATAATCATGTAAGAGCTTAAAAGCTCGTAATTGTGGAGATGCGAGAGCTTGGAAGCTCATACTTGTGCAAGAGCTCAAAAGCTTGTAATTGTGAAGACGTGAGAGTTAGAAAGCTCATAATCGTGTATGAGCTTTAAATTTTATAATCGTAAAGACGCGAGAGCTCGAAAGATTAGAAACATATAGAAGCTTGGAAGCTTTTAATCGTGAAGACACCAGATCTCAAAAGCTCAAAATTGTGTCAGAGCTCGGAAGCTCAAAATCGTGTAAGAGCTTGGAAGCTTTAACCGTGAAGATGTGAGAGCTTAGAAGCTGAGCATGGCGTAAAAGCTTAGAAACTTTTAGCTTGATGGCAAGCTCGAATTTAGCCTTGTTTCTTGTAGGCATTAGTGTATATCATTTTCTGCACTTTTCTTTGAAAATACAAGAACGCTGCTATGTTTATAAATGAATTAGCAAGCAAATTTTGTGCAACAAAAAAAAACTTAAAGGATAGATAATATCCCTTTAGCAAGAAATTAAAGGTGATCAATGACCTTTGCATTTGGAGTGGTAAATATTTTGATGGTAGGAATTTCATATATTTTATACTAAGGCTTTTAACTTTAATAGTTGTTGGTCCAATTTAGATGAATCACTCTTGGTATTGGTGGAAGATCAAATCTTACGCCGACTGGCCCCGTAATCCTCCATATGGATGAAGCTAGTTGTGCATGTTCTCAACTCACTCATGTCGACGAGCTTGTCTTGATACAAGTCGATGGAGAATGGTCCCGCCTTCAGTGCTTGTAATGTGGCATTAAAGGCAACATGAGGACGAAGGTATTGCTTTTTGTTGGATATGGCTAAGAATCTTTCCATGAAAGCTCAAAGCGACTCTCGATTGTCCCACTCGAGGTTGAGAAGTATTAAGGTTGACGTTTCATGAGGTTGGCTAGTGGGCAAGTGCACTTTGAATTGTTGCTTCAAAACGACATAACAGGTTACATTCAATGGGGACATGTGAGTATACCATAGCAAGACAGGGCCCTGAGTGTCGTTAGGAAGATTTGCAAAGGGCCATTTTGTCTTGGGTGTATAAGTGCATCATAGTCTTGTAGGTGACGAGGTGCTCGTCTGGGCATGTCAACCCATCATATGCCTTCATGTTATGTTACCATCCACGAGGAAGTGGCACATCAATCACGTCTTTGGTGAAGGGATGATCACAATGTTCTCTAGCGAACTACACTAGTGTGGTCCGAGGATGAGCTTGGCCCTCCTTTGTAGGAGCCCTGCGTAGTATTGGTGTCCCTGGTGGGCTGGGAGGTTGTGTATTTCTCCTTTGCTCAAAACACTCGTCCTTATGCAAATGTTGTTATTCTTCTCACACAGAGCTTGAAGCTCTTATTCACACCAGACGTGATCATTTTTATGTTGTTGGTGAAGGGTCGCTAAGCTTCCTCATTGTGCTTCTGCATGGCCTCCATGCATTACAAGAGTTCAACGGTGGATGGTGCAACGGGCGGCACCATGGTGGTGGCAAGTGTGTCACTAATGCCACATGTGGTGCTGTGGTGGCGATAATGGGTGTCGAGGGTGGTTATATTAGAATTAAACCAAGGTTCCCGGTGGTTGCAGAGGTTTACTGCTGCATTGTTGGTCATTATCTGGTTTCAGATGGAAATCATGTGTTGGCACCATGGTGGACACTAAATGTTAGTATCAAAATCTGTAGGTGCTTCGACGAGAAAAAAGGTGTTCTCCATACTCCAGTCATTGACGAAGGGAAGAAACACCTACAATGATACTGCTCGATCGAGTTAGAAAATAGTCTAGGTTAAGTGGAGAATTATGTTAAAATGATACCTAGTACCCCGTGCGTTGGATCTTATCTCTGTGTTTAAAGATAACGGGGTGTGATCTCTCCAGATATTTGGTGGTAGTTATTAGAAATATTGTTCTTAATAACATCATCTTTAATGTGATCTCGGAGTTTTGATAGACATGGTGAGAATATTATTCCTCAATTATTGGAGAGAAAACTACCTAGGATTTTATCTCCTAGGCCCAATATGGGCTAGCTAGTGTTTAACCTGACCCACTCGAGCTAGGTAGTACAATGTTATATCATTGTTTGTTTTGTAGGTTTATAACATTACATTTGTTCAAAAATATTAAATGATTTAAATCAAGGCTAAAATATTTTTTTAGTTATATTGACCTGATTGACGAATGAGTTGGATTAGATTAGATTGGATTTCATAATATAGTAGACAAATCTGATATAACTAAACCTATTAAATTTTGATCAAGTCATATAACGAATTTATTAAAACCCGACCCAACTAAACCCACTTACATCCTTACTTTCACTATACTATATCATATTAAACAGTCAAAGTAAAGAATGTTATAGTGTACTAAAAAGTCTCACATAGTTTGGAAGTCATGATCAATGATAATTTATAAACACTATTCCTTCTTAACTAGAGCTGAAAATGAGTTGAACTCGACTTGGCTAAAAAATATTTAACTTAGCTCGTAACTTAATTTGAGTTCAACAAAAAACCATTTTTTTAGCTTGAACTCGATTCAATTCAAGCTCGATAACAACTTAGTTTAGCTTATTAACTCAAATCACATGAATTAAGTGTCAAATTTTTTGAATCTTATATATTTTAAAATTTTAATTTAATAACATATTTTAGATAAAATAATTGTTTAACTTTTTAAAAGAAATTAAAACATGAATTATTCTATTATTTTTACAAGGTTTCAAGGTATGACCCCAAAAAAACATAATCACGTATAAATAAAAACTATTTTACCTTGATAAAATAATAAAAAATTCAATCCATAATCATAAATTTTAAAATGTCCACTTTTTAATAATAATAATAATAATAATAATAACTATTTTGTCTTGATAAAATAATAGAAAATTCAATCCATAATCAAAAATTTTAAAATGTCCACTTTTTAATAATAATAATAATAATAATAATAATAATTATTATTATTATTATTATTTTATAACCAAGTTTTGAAGGTTATTTCAAAATTTAATAAGTTGAAATCAAATAAAAAATTAATTATATAAATTATATATTTATATGTTGAGTCAATTATTGAATCAAATGAGTTAAATTATATGTAACTCAAGTTTAACTCATTTATTTATCGAATTTAAATTTAACTCATTAAATTTATGAACTAAATTTAATAAATTATTATTAAATTAAATTTTGAACTATTTTCAAGTTAATTCAAATTTGTATCACCCTTATTCTTAACATACTCACAATGGTGGATTCCAAAAATATTTTTAATGGAAGAAAGAAAATAGTTTATAATATTTTCATGTAACAAAAATATTACAAACTTATAGAAAATACATAAATTCATTAAAAAAAAATCTGATTACTTAAACTTCTACTATTGAATTCCTTGAGAATACCCCCCGAAACCTTTGAATACGTTCTTTAATTCAAATAACAATGGCTCCACAACATTAAAAGGACAGTTAAAGAGCATATTCAAATAAAAAAATATGGGGGCAATATTACTAATTAAATATTCAAATAAAAATGAAAATACCTTGTGTACCTTTGTAGGTGGATCCGCAACTGCCCATTCACACCAATATTTATAAGAAAAAAAGAAAAAGAAAGAAAAAAGAGTGACCAATATGCATGCACTGCACGCTGGGGGAAGAATGGGCAACGTGATTCAAATTTCAATGAACAAAAGTAAGGTACAAGTGAATTAGCAACCCATGTGCCAATAAACAGACATGTGGGGATACGAGAAAAACATACAAAAAAGCTGTGATGTGCAATTGCACGTAACAACAGAACAAGCATGAAAGATACCATTGCAACAAATGGAGAAATAAATATTATATTGGGAAGACACTCATAAAATTATTATTTAAAGATATGTTAATTGGGAAACACTTGAACTAAACACCGAAGCTGACAGGAGAATCAGCCAACAGCGCCCTTCCGCTGAATTAAGAAGCAGACAAATTCAAAATGGTGTGCCATGTGATGATCATGGATTTTCCTTGCTCAATTTTATTGTGCGATGCGACCTACCCTAATGCTTCCACAAACACCCTATGTAGTATTACCCAATCCTGGTATGAAGAAGATTGGAAGGGTTCAAATTTAAAATTTAAAATTAGGACCAATGTAATTTTAGTAAAGTTTAAACCTCAGGTTATCATTTAAGTTGTCACATTCCAATTTTACGTCTTACATTTTTCTTTTCTTTTTTTTTACCTAAAGAAACATGTCTTACATTTATTTAAATAAAATATAACTTTTTCAACAATTATGTATTGGTAATAAAACTATTTTGTATAAAATGATATCAAATTTAAGATTAAATATATTTTTAGTCTTAAATTTTTTCTCAACTTTTTTTTTAGTCCAAACAATTTTATTTTATTTCAATTCTTAAATTTTTTCTCTACGAATAATAAATTTTGACATTATGGATCAAAATGTTAATAGAAAAAAAACTTCAAAAACTAAAATAAAAAATTGATAAAAGCTCAAAAATTAAAATTAGTAAAAAAAATTCAGTTTCTAAACAAAAGTTGACAAAAATTTAAAAACTAAAACATATTTAATCCTTAAATTTATAATGATATTGTTTATTTAAAATTATATTTATAAAATATACTTTAATTTTTTTTAACTTAATCACACATAATATTAATATTGATCCAGTATAATATTAAAATGTCAGCTTTATGTGTCCTGTTTTGAGCTTTAATTCAAATAATTGATTCTATCGGAATTTTGGAAAGGATTCAGACAGATAAATCCAATCCGATCCTTAAACACCAAAATATGGGCTTGTACAGTTGTACCTCATTTTGTATTGCTTTTCCATTCTGCAAATGATTACAGCTCAACATTTCAATTTTAATGTTTGATTGGGACTAGACTACAGTCAATGATTTTTCAGACTACAAATATGTTTCTTTAACAAGTCCGCATGCATAGGGCATAATTTTTGTTCATTGAAAGCGTAGAAGATTCACGATGGTTTAAAGAAGCGTTTGGTTTGATGCAATGTCAACAAGGATTCCCTAGTACATTTTTGTGGCTAGCACCAAGATTGGCATATATTAGAGGAAGGTGAATTGAGTTTGAAACATACATAGGTTTCTCCAGGTCCATTGACAACGTTATGTATTTCTTGCAGAGTAAGAGCTTAAGGAGAAAACAAGAGGAGCCAAATTGTTACCAAATTCAATTAATTAATCAAAAAGCCAATAGCTAGTGGAAGGTGGAGAGAAAAATATTATAAGAACCAAAAAACTAAGGTCCCAAGTTCAACACCTAGAAAATAACATTCACATTGATACAGTGACATAGGGCATAGTACTTTTGTTCTCAACCCCAGCAGAGCATGATGAAAGCAGAGAAGATGGTTATTGAGATGAAACTACCGTGTACAAGTCTAAGGCCACCATGACTTTCATCATTCATGCCAGATCCTGAAGGTCCCATGCCACTGCCAATCCCTCCTAATACTCCAGGTGTTGTGCTGTATGGAGTAGTACCAGTGCCGGTGGTGGTGCCGGTGGTGGTACCGGTACTGGTGCCGGTGCCGGTGCCGGTGCCGGTGCCGGTGCTTGTTGATGGAGTTCCAGTAGTAGGAGTGGTGCCCACGGTTGGTGTGGTAGTCACAGGAGTTGTACTAGTGCCTGCAGCGCTGATTAGACAAAGGAACAATGTTCAATCACATGTAGTCTCCCAAGCTTTTTCTAATACCACACACAAAATAGCTAACTAGCCACTATGATTGAGTAGGTGGTGAGGGAGAAATTATTACATAATCCAAAATTATCACATCTCTAGTTTTGACTAATCTCAACATAACACTAAAACATTTACTGGAAAGAGCTTGAATAGTTTGAATGAAATCATAACTTCAATCTTCATTACCCTTTATTGCATCCACACACTAGCCCCTACAAAGTTTGAAATCAGTTAGTTTTGGACTCAAACTCGTTTACACTTTTATTTGGCGTTTTGGACTACAATACCCACTTTCAAAACTCTTCACCAATTTAATGCCTATTAGGTTAGAAAAACTACAGCTGATCTACTGCCATTTTGGTTCTCAAATCTCTACCTACTTTTTTTAAGTTGATAATGACAAGAACATTCTGCAAAATTCCACATCAGAGAACATCCATTATAAGATTAGTGATACAATAATTTATTTCATGATATTATTTTTTACTCTACCCTGCCTTAAAAAGGAGAGGTGGGTAATATAAAAAAATAAAAATAAATAAAAATAGTACTATAGGAAGAAAAAAGAACTTTTTACAAACTTGCAGGTTAAAAGAGAACGCGAAGGGAGATAAACTAATGAAAGCGACGGGAGCAAGAATGGTCATACACAAACATCAAAAATATCTCGACTTTTCGAAAAGTTGATGGCCCAGATCTCGAAGTAAGTGTCTAGCTTTTGTTTCACACTCATCAAAAATTCAAAATTACTGACTCATGAGATATGGGAACAAACCAATGCTGCTCAGTGCTCACCCAAACCCTGTCGTCCACTCATTTTTTACTATAATAAAATAAATAAATAAGGGCATTCATGACTTTCGACATTTTTTATTGCCAAAAGGGCAAAGCAAAAAGGCACAGGATGAGAGAGGTTCAATAGGGACAAACTTGTCATCTCCTAATGATGTTGGCCGTATTTTATTTCAATGAGATTCGAACTTTACTAGTGCATCGTATCCCAATTATTGCAGCATCTTTCTCAGGGCAACGGCTATAATCATCAACAAATGGGAAATGAGTTGCAGACATCAATAATGAAATTACAATACCGTCAAAATAAGATGAATAAAGGGAGGTTCGTCCTCGTTGGATGGATTGGACCACATGTTATTGATTCAAAGCAAAATAGGGAATATATAAAATTGAGAAATTAAAAAGGAAAATTTAAGGGCCCTAGATTTTGTCTTCCTAAAGAGAGATTGGTTGGATATGGCATTGAACCACTCAACAGAAATTTTTCTCTTTTTTATTTCTTTCAATTTAAAAAAAGAGGGCAGAAATTTATAAATAATTTAAATCAGAATTAAAAAAAAAAACAGCTGCTATGAAGTTTTTTCTTTTTTAATACAGATTACGTTGACAAGTTGTTGGCTTAGATATTGTGAATTTATTTTCATATTTTTATTTTATTTTTCCTTTAACTACACTCCTCAAAAGTAAGGATATTTATCTTGCTTTTCAGTTTCTCATCATCATTTTGTACCGTTTTCATTTGCGTAATCATGGCGGGCTTTATTTACTTGAATAATTACTTGAGTTGTGTTTCTTTACACTACTTCCACACTCTTCTTTTATTACAATAAAAGAGAAATTTTTCATTTGAAATTTCGTCTACTTTTTTTTTTAGTTAAAAAAGAGAGAGTACGAGTGTAGTTCTGATACTTTAGCATTAGAAGAAGAAAAAAAAAGCGAAAAAAAAACTTTGATGCGATTGTGAAATTTATCCATTCATACATAAATGGTATGTATGTCCAACAAAAATAAAGAAAATTACATTAAACTTTGAATAAACATACCTTTAGATAAAAAAAAACGTTGGAATGATAATACCATGGTAAAAAAAGATAAATTTAAATGACCTAACAAAAGTTAATTACGATGATAACAGAAGTTTCCGAAGGAATATTACTTTATTTTAAAAATTAACCTACTTAGTTCACTTTAATTTTTCAAACATTAGGCCCAGGGCAGCCTCCTCTATTTGCTCAAAAAAAAAAAGAAACACTAAAAATGCCATCACACTTGCGCGCTGCGAATATGCCTATGACAAAGCAATGTCCCCACTACAACCCAAAGAGAACTCGCTTTTGTAGATAACTAATCTATCTATAATAATCTATGCAAGTGCTCGTTGTGATAAGCAAAAGTAAATGTTCAACACAAGCTTGAAAACTTACGGCAAAAAAAAAAAACAAAGGAAAAGCATATTAAACAAGCATGGCTTGAAGACGAAGAACAAGTGTGGATCTAAAAAGACGCATCCCTGACGCTAGAAGGGTAGGCGCAACCGCTAGAGCCTGCACATCAAGAGAAAGTAAAAACAGTTAATTATTTTTCAAAGGAATATATGCAAAGGAGAAAAGGAGAAAAAAAAAAAAAAAAAAAGAGAGATTGAGATTTACTGGGGTCAGATGCAGTAACAGTGGCTGTTCCCGCGAAGTCGCAGGAGCCTTGGGCCTGACCCTTCTTCTGGAAGTAACTATTGACGGCGTAGTTGCAGTGGGCCCTGACGGTGTTGGGCTGGAAGCAAGGCCCGTTTAGGTGGAGAGGGTTACAGTCGGCCCCGGCTCCACAAGCGTAGTCCAACGTCTTCTGCAGAACGGCGTCGCTTCCGTCCTTGCAAACGCACCAATTCGCACCTACAAATACAATTTACAAACGTGGAATGTAAACATGTCCCTAGCTAGGATGATACAAGTCTCTTGTTTGAAGATTTAGTGAGAGGAGATAAAGGATGGACATAGATCCGGTTATGAAACAAGTGAAAGAGAAAAAGGAGTTTGAAAGCATACTTGAAGTGCCAGCGAAAGCTAGAAGAAGAAGTGCAAGAGGTAGAGCAGCCATGTGAGGGAAATGGTGACTTGAGATGCAGAGAGGAGAGAGTGGAGAATGGTGGGTGTGTGTGACAGAGAGTGTGAGTGTGAGTGTGTGTGGTGTGGGAGAGAATATGAGGACAAAATATAACACAGATGGTAAAGTTGTGTAATGTGTAAACGGTGGGATCCCTTTGATGTCGGCTTGTGAATGCTTTTTGTACTTTTGCAATTTCGGTCATCACTGATACTAGTTAATATTGCTAATGTGGTAGTAAATTTTAGTCACGCTCCTCTTTCTTTTCTTTACCCTATATCAAGGAAGGAAATAGTTTCATAGGGTCTCGCAAAAGCACTATGCAGAAGCCAACGCACCTTTCGGAGTGTGTCACTGTTTATCTTTTGCCATTTCTTTTGTCATTTATGCTGCCATGGCATCCAATGAGCACGGAGGGGGCAAAATAAAGGGGGCTTTCAAGTTTCAACATTTTCTTCGCTTGGTTTTTGCAAAGCTCTACCTAGAGTAGAAAAAAGGGGACGAGTTCATCGGTGTAATTGAATTTTACCAAAAATATTGTGTGAACCTTTTTAGGTTTAATTTAAGCCAGGGAAGGGATAATATCCCAGTTCTAGAAGAAGAAAAAAAATTCCAAATTTAAACAATACTTAGAAAAAACTTATATTTATCTCATCTAAAAATAGAAATGGTGCGTATATTAAAACAATTAGGTTTGCTTTAATGTTATCACATTTTCTAATACACATTCAACTCAGTTCAATTTTAGTTTTTAATTTAGCAGACATCTGGAGTTTCTCAACTATAAAATAAACACGTTTTTAATGATAAAAGCTAATATAAATATATATTTCTAAGTTCAATTTTTATTGATATGAATTATACGAATCAAATTAATCGCCAGAGTAAATTAACTGGTATGAGATTACTTTAACTTAATCATAAGTTGAATTTGAGTCCTAAACATATAACTATTAAAAGATACATGTAATCCGTTTTTAAAAAATCAAAATATTAAAATGCAGACTCAAACTACAATGTTATAACTTATATGTGTGTGTAAAATCTCCATGATCTCGAGTTAAAAGTATTTTTAAAGAATTTTAGTAGTTCTGTCCAGGCATATATATTTTAATCATGTCAAGTGTTGCCTTGGGAATAAAAGATTTTCTGTTGCACGCCTCTTATTAACGGTTACTTGGACTAGGCCAAAATTTTGAAACCTCACATGGATACGTTTCGTGCTCCATGGTCCCATCTAATTCAATGTTATTGCTAGTGGTACTTGTGGGTTGCTAGAAGTAATGACAGGAGTCTGGACTCGTCTTAATTGAATATCTCAGACTCAGCTGCACCAACGGTCGAAGAATTTTATTTTATTTTCTTTTAGAAACAAAGAAAGACTAATCGATAAAAATATTTAGTGTGTGAGAAAAAGTAGTTACGCAACGCAGAAATTGTTTGTTTGAGATTAGTGATTCATAACAAGTAGCGTAAAGCAGCAATTAAAATGAGAAATGAAATATCAAATATGCTCACTTTTTTCTTTGGCTCACCGTCCAAGGCTATAAACATAGGCTTAGAGTTAGAGCCTCAGGTCTCGGGAAAAGACCTCACATATGTGGCATCGCTTACTGGGCCATCTATATTGGGTTGGACCTAATAGTTACACCAGAATTCCGGGTGTGGACCGGGACCAAGTCAATCTGGGTTTGGTTCTTTTCAGGTATATAATTAATTAACAATCAGTTACATAATATTAAATTGATGACCTGAGCCGTTGAAATTGATGTGGGAAAAGGAGCGGTTTTTTCAAACTAATTTTGACCCCCCAAAAGCCATTAAATTAACTAAATCATTAACAAATTGATTAACAACCAAAATCCGATCAATAACTCCAGTTTCATTTGTCACTACCAACACATATGGAAAATTATTTGTTGAGAGAAGTTAATTCCTTAAATAGATTTCAGTATCTCAAAATTTAGCCTTTAACTATCGGCTAAGGGTATATTGGTTTAAAAAAGAGAAGCAATATTCCTCAATCCATGGCAACGCATTGCATGTGTTATCCATCAGGAGGTGCGTATAACCAAATGCAAAATGCATATGCCAATATATGTTTAATTGTTTACGATGTGGGTCTTGAATATGGAGAGGATGGACGAGATTTCAAAACTATGATGTTTAAATATGTAATTTGTAATTGCAAAATGCAGTTGCTTGTCAACTTGAGGCACTACTGCACTACCTATTCTTCGGAAAGGTATCCCAATGCTATGTGGATTTTGGCTTATCTTGATTTTCAAGCACCAGCTCGTTTCTTAGTTTTTATGTCCTTGGTTAATAGAAATATGAATTTCAAAAGCACTGTTCCTATAGCAGCATTTCACAGGCAGTAGGGTCATAATCATACAAATCCAACATATCATTGAGTTGTTGATGGAGCAGAGTTCAACTTGATTTAGTTAGTAAGTCTAATATTTACAATTCACAAGACAAAAGATGCCTGTCGGTTCCATTTATAATTTGTTGAGGAATTATTCCCAGTCAGCATCAAAGAATCCAGCATCTTTCATTTCAGAGTAATATGCGTTGTCCAAAAGGAAATCTTCCTCCTGCAGCACATAATATGATGTTCATGCATATATTATAAAAAACCAGAAAGAAACAGCTAATATCAAACAGTGCTTACCTGGAAAAAATCTGCAAGAAAAGTTACGTAAAGAAATGGAAGATACAAAGAGTGATAACAAAGCACAGTGAAATCATACAACCTGCGGATGAAAAGGATATGTGTCACTCAGTGCATAAGTTATACAGAAGATAATTGAGTACCTCTTCTCTTATAAGTTCAAATTGCAAAGAAGTTATATGATTACCAATTGCCGAGTCCAGTGCCAATTCCTGCTAGCCCACAAGCAAACAGGGTAATCACACTGAAGACAAACATTACAGCAACATAGTTATAGAAAGCGGGCCTTGCTGCAAAGATGAAAGAAAATTTTACGTCAGAATATGAATCCATTTAGAATATTGACAACAAAGTTAGAAGTTATACTCACGAGGCAGCTTCTCTCTCCATTTGGAGAACTGTACAAATAAAATGAAGCCATATGCTGCAGCAAGCAATAATTTATGTACTATCCACAAACTCCACTTGATCGTGTGAGTGCTTCCAACATTGCGATTGAACAATGGGACTCCAAATCCAAAAACGTATATTGCCTGATAAGGACATGTTTAATCAGCAGAAGGCGAGACAAAAAACCATGCATAAAAGCTGATGACATTTAAAAGCAGTTAGTTAAAGGAGTAATGAACATCTAAATAACAATCAACATCTGACGGGGCATAAACATTGAGGTACTGTGGCTCAGACGCAATGAGATGAGGAAACAGCCATGAATGGAAAACCATTGCAAGCTATAACCACCATTATTTTTTTTTCCTTTCTTTTTGTTTAGGAAAGAAAATGGAAAATTCAAATTCATATTGTGGAGAAAAGAAAAATTACAAAGCAAGAATATGTAATCCTCAGAAGAAATGAGAGAAAAGCAAAGAATCACATTAGAATAGATCCTAAATTAAATGACCAAATCAAATTATAAAACAATAAAATGTCTGCAACAATTTGTCCTTGTTCCTACATGATACATCTCCTAAGGAGGGGGGTAGTAGGAGTGAAATTTCAGTTGCAATTTAACATATTCAAGCATAACATCGAAGACATTTTGCAGAAATGTAATTAGTAATTTATGGTTATAATCCTAGAAATTATGTTCCCTCATTTATTAAGAAATCGTCTTCGAATTCTCACTGCAATATCTTTTAGATGAACAGTCTTGTATTATGCTAATACTTTTTTCCATAAGAGTTTCATAACATGCTATCCCCCTCTCTATCTTGTGTCAAAAATGTAGCTAAATGCTTCATGGTAATCTGAAAAGCTGCTTCCAATTAAACTAAAGACTAAAAATGCCTGCAGTTAGCAATACCTCATCACCAAAGCATGTGATTAAGGAAAAATATGTTAGTTTTGAAAAAAACAACCATACTGCATGCCAGTATTTCATCAAGAGAACATAAGCTAGATCTGTCAGTGCACGACACATCTAGGTCCTTTTATGCGTTGAACTTGGAAGCTATGCCAGGACTAAATTTAATATGAGAAGCGAAAGAGTGCCATCAATAATTAGGATATGGGAGTCAAAAATGGTGATGCAGGCATATAAACCCATACACACAAACTTCCCATAAAAAAAAACTTAGAGAAACTTTCAAGGCTACAAGCCATGGTTTTTCACTACCGAGAAGTTTGAGAGATGCATAATAAGCTTATCAACTTCTTTATAAAAAATTTTTTTTGAAAAAACACTTTGTTAGCATCACAGAGATTACATAAAATACAAATGAATTTTTCCATAGAACGACAGAATTGAGTTAAATACTAGTATTACAAAAAAAAAAAAAAAGGCTCAAAATCATTTTCAAGTAAACTACCAAAAATATAGGTAGCAATAATTCAACATGGCCTTTGGAAATTTGGATCAGTGACAGTGACATTCACTGCAGAAACAGACTCTTTAATACAGAAAGTAGTTGCCATGAGCTTATGAACACATACTAGAAACCTACAATCACTGTCAAATCAAGTTCACTTATCATTTCAAAGGCAAAGTTTGTTTAACATCATGACTGATACCGCAAAACTTTCTTAAGAATTGTGTTTGTGGCATCCATTGCTATTCCTTCAAATAATGTTGCAATCATGGTAGTGATTAATGTTGCTGATATGAATGATGATTAGCCAATTGACTACTTTCCTTCTCTTCAAATTTCCAATACAAAGGTTGATGATTTTCTGAGTTTTATATTTGCAATTGTGATGTAGGTTAAGACCAGGTTACCTTGAAAACAAAAAACAAACCAGTAACTGTTGGGGAGAAAATCTAATGCAATAGATAAAGGGGTAAATTATATAAAACCAAGAAAGAATAAACAAGTTGAGACACCATTCAGCTATAAAAATCCATTTATATTTTACAAAACACATAAAAATGCATAGCATGTGCATGTACATAACTAATATGAATGAAAACCAGTCTCACCTTAAGAAATGTATCCACAAAGACAATAATTCCTGATGCAAGAAAAGACTGTACCAGAGCTTCCATGCCATTCATGTAGTTATCCTTCAGTAAGAAAGCCACCAAGCTTATCTCTAGACACAGCATACCAGATGCTGTAAATAATGACAGCAGATTCCATGCAACCTCCTTTCCAGAAGAGCACTGCCATGCCTGCTTAAGAAAGAAAAATAGAAAACATAATTGAAAGGCTAAGAAGTTAAAAGAAGCAAATGTACAAATCCTACTGCCAAATGAGTGGAAATAAACTAACGTGATTATCAAACTTTGTGATGAAGCATAGATGGAAATGGGAAAGAATATGATATAGATTCTGAATCCATACAGATTAATTTCAGCCACTGAACTTCAAAAGCAAATCAGGGCCACTAGCTGAAATTTTAAATGTGGATTTTCAAAAGCCCATGTAGTTACATGGCAAGAAACAAGTCTTCAGAATCAGTGCAGAAGCTACACCATAGCAAAATCCACGAAAGCCACTTTAATTGTATGCAATACTCTTCAGAACGGGTTTGGGAACACAATGTGTGATAGGATACTATGTCTAATATATGGTATGTGTGAGGTATATTTTATTGGTAATAGATATGCTGTTAGGGTTTGTGGTACATTTCAAAATATTACTTGGTATATGCCCTGAATATATATAATTACATATTTTTTAATTTTGAAAAATAATATATTATACACTTACAAAATTTTGAAGTAATAATATATTGATTAAAATATTTTTTTAGTCCCTATAATTTCACTTACTTTACCTTTTAGCTCCTATAGTTTAAAATAGACATTTTTATTCCCTATATTTATTTTTTCAATCTTTCTAGTCCCTATAGTTTAAAAAAGATATTTTGAGTCCTTATACTTGCAGTTTTCTAATCTTTTAGTTTCTATCATTAGTTTGTTTTGTAACAGTATCTATTTTGTATTTGATGTGGTAGAAGTTTTCAATTTTGTGAGCGTAAAAAAAATGTCTCAATAATGGAAAAATGTTTCAATAATGGACATCACAGGAGAAAATACAAAAGAGGCATGAAGCGTTGATAAACTTAATTTACAATAACATTAGTAAATAAATACGATATCAAACACAACAAGTTAAACTAATACTTCTATTACGTCAATATGAAAGATACAACGTTAAAAACTAAAAACATTTATCTTAAACTATAAGCACTACAAAGGATTTAAGTATAGAAACTAAAAAGGTATATTTTAAACTATATGGACTAAAAGATAGAGTACTAAAAAAAATAACCTACTAAAAGGATTATAAAATTGCAACTATAATAAGGATTAAAAATATTTATCTTAAACCGTAAGGACTACAAAGGATTTAAAAAGATAAGTATAAGGACTAAAAAGATCTATTTTAAACTATATGGACTAAAAGATAAAGTAAGTGAAATTATAGGATTAAAAAAAGTATTTTAACAAAAAAAAACATGCCTCTTCATTTCTTTCCTTTCTTTGTGCACTCTCGTTTATTGCCATTTTTTTGTTTTCCAATATGTTAGTAGACTTTAAAGATCGATCCACGTCCCAACACCACTTTCTTTAATTAAACATTTTAAATAAAATCAGTTGCTTCATATATTTTTTCTTTCTTTATGTGCTCTCATTTATGGCTAGCGTTTTTCTCCTTCCTAATACGATGCTGGACTTCAAAAGTCCACAGCTCACTCACCAAAGATTAACTAATATCTGAAAACTCACTCCCCTTTCCCCCTCATATATTAGTAGTTCAAAGAACAGTGTCCCTTTGTTTGAGTTCGGAAGCAGAGAGCACTAGAATGAAAATACCCAAACTCATGCTGCCAGAAAATCAATGACTGAAACCCATATACATTCAACAACAGATTCAATAAAAAAATCCACCGTGAACTGGAAACCGCAGTTCAAGCCAAGGGGTCAAGTAAATTTCGTAACTGTGATCACGCCATCATATATGATCTCAACTCAAACAACTAGAACTCTTCCTTACAACGACAAAGCAATACAATCAAAAGAGGGGCCTAACCTAATGGAAAAATTATCATCTAAATAACCTTTTATTCATCAAACAAATTTCAGGACATCAAGCACGTTCATGGAATTTTCTGATACACGATCCCAAATATCTATTAGCAAACTCGAGAAACAGCCACAAATAGATGCTAGCAAAACCACGTTCTAAGAAATGCCACAACCACAAAGAAGTACCAGCAAAACCTTCTTACATGGATACACCTATTATCCCACCTAAACTTCATAACATTAACACACACCCCAAATGTTGAACTCTTCAATTTACCCTACATAGCCCCCCAATTTAATACACATCCGCTCTAAAGTGAAGTGGTAGTAAAAAATTTCGTCTGCATCCCTATGATCTCACGCCTATTACTCAATCCCAACACAAATTCATGGCATGTTCCGAAGCAAATAAAAAACAGTACCCACAAATTACAGAATAACGAACAGTATAGGGAAGATGTGTTGTGATGTGATGTGATGTGATGTACCTGAAGAAAAGACCAAGCGAGGTTTAAAAGCGTGACGAGCCAGAGGAGGGCGTAGTATGAAACGACAACATAGGAGGCTCCACGACAGAGCCTGTTGAGGTTCTTCTTGGCGTGCACCATAAGATACACAACGAACAAAACCGACGAAACGACAAGGAAGACGCCGTACCCATCGCACTTCAGATCGTTGCCAAGTGGCGACAAGGCTTGGGCTTCGCCACTCCCTGACATGGCGGCTTCAGAGGCTGAGATCGGTTGAGAAGAAAAGGGGTTTGGGGGAACCATAGGACATTGTTTGGTCGGTGGCGAAGTGGAGTTTAATTTCTTCAACGAGATCGTGGAATTTAGTTGATGATTGACGATGGTGGTTCCGTCACCAAATAGGACTATAGGAGTTATCTTGTGATCAAAGTCTATAAATGTAGAAGAAAAAAAATAATTATTCTTTTCCAGTAAACACCCGACCATGAATTTGGAAGAGAACTTAAATGAATAAAACATAAAGATACGGTTATTTAATTGCGGTTCATGTCTTGTTTAATTAGAGTCGGAAAATATATTATTTCCTAAAGAAATAGTATAAACTTACATTGAATATAAATAATGTATAAATTTTATCTGATTAGAAAATTATATTAATTACATCTAAAAAAAATTACCTAAATTTTGTATCACCATAAATCAGTTTTTAAAAATAAAAAATTAATAAATATCTTCAAAATGTTAAATAAAAAATATAAATTTAACTATTTATTATATTTATAATTTATATATTATTTTAATAACATTTTTTTAATTTCAAACTAATATGATTGTAAATTCATACTTACAGATTTAACAATTTCTTAATTTTAAAAACTCATATGAAGACCTGTTCTAAATTCACCATCAAATTGAGTTACTCTGTTCTTATATATTCATCTTTAATAATTACAAGTAGAATCAAATAATTGTATAAATTATTAAAAAATATTTATATTTTTTGAGATTTAAATATAAGTAAAATAAATAAATGTTTGATATAAACATATTTTAATTCATTTAATCTTGTTTAATGTTACCATTTTTTAAATGATTTTCATGTAATTAAGATTTAATTAAATGGTGTTAATTTTCTTAATGCGCAAAGCAAAAAAATTTCCTAACTTGTGCGTGAGATTGAGAGGGAAGTTACTAATAATACTTGATGTTCACATTTTTCTTACTCATTTTACCTTCATAATTGCACCTATAATCAAATAATTGCACAAGCTTTTATGCCGTGTGTGGAAACCTTTCAGATTAGCAACATGTCGGATCAATCTCTAACCCAATGAGTTAGGATAACTATGGCAAGATGATATATAAATCATCGTACAAACTGTCATAAGTAAAATTTGTTATTCTCTCTTTTTAGACACAAAGTGCATTTTTTTAATCGTTATTAATAATGATTGTGTAAAGTTATGGCACAAATTTCTTCCATATTTCCTGTTCGAGTAGCAATCCACCCTTGTTCTGAACAAGTGACGTAATGAGTAGAATTTATAGCAATAGTTGTGTGGAATGGGTACATTCTTATATTTATTCAAATTGAATAGTTATATATATCATACGAAATACAGATTAATAATACTAATTGTAGTAATCCAACTCGAGAGCTGACTTGACTTTATCATTTCTCAACTAATTATTTATTCAACTTGGATGGGATTGGGATAGAGTAATTCAGACTCAAAAAACCTATATAACATGCCCAAATGGAATGGGTATCTTGAATTGATTGAACATTTCCATTAAGCCTTACGGAAAAAGACTAATTCAAACTCCACCTAATTAATTAGTTAAGGTCTACGCAGAAAAATAATATTAATCAGTAGAATTTGTACCCATCCAAAAATAATATCACTAGACCGTCCTCTTTTGGGTAGGAAGTTTTAAAAATCAAACTTGGAATTACTTATGCATAAGCAAAGATAACCACTCTCTTTCTATATATATTTCAATTTGAGATATGATTGATTTAAAATAAGATGTACTCTTTTTTATTAATAAGTGATAATAATTTATGTCTCTTAATTAAAATATTCAAAATTTGAATTTTTATCTAAAGTATAAAATAAACTAATTTAAAAGAAAAATATTCATCTTGAATACACTTATTATCTTTAATAAAAGTTTGTCACTACTTTTAATGATAAATACTTCATATCAATATCGTAATAAAAAAAAATTTGTACTTTTTCTTTATATTTAATACAATAAATATTTTGGAATAATTCATATGCCAATTAGTATTAAACATCACTCTAAAAAAACGATCCTTCAAACACATGGATCTCATACATAATTCCTTTTTTTTTTTCTGAGTTAAGGACGGTTCAGTTATTAACTTTTGCACATTATACATAATTTAATTTTAATTATTAGTTTAATTAATGGACCCCTCACTTGAAATAAAAACCGGGGTGGACAATTTAAGCAAGCTAACTAAGCTTTATTTAATTCGTAAAAGTTTATTAAAAAACATATGGAAAATCCTCTCTCGTTTGCCTTGGGAACAAAAAGTTCATAGTTCCTAATAAGTTATGATTAGATATACAAATTGATGACATAGAACGGCAATATGCATGAGAAAACAAAAATACGCTAATATTTTTAAGTTTCTTTTGATTCTCGTTACTTTAAGTTTACTCCTGTTCCTGGTGTCATCTTCTCGATTCACATTTAGATGGAACACAATTAAATAAGAAGAAAAAGAAGTATAAAACACAACGAGATAGCCATGAGCATGAATGTATGAATTACAGGGTAGACCCATGATTGATTACAAAAAGTAAAATGAAAAAGGTAGGGTTATGATGGGATTTAGGGAATGAAAAAAAGAGAAGCATATGTTGGAGTTAATGGAAAATGACTCTTAATTTGCATAAACAATTTAATCTTATCCTGAGACAAGTGAACGTGCTTTCCCTCTCTCATTTGAGGGAAAAAAAGGAGATGTGCGATAAAGCTACCAAAAAAAAGTAGCAGCATCAGTTATTTGGCTCTAAGTAGGTGGTCACATGATTTAAAGTTATCCAGCTGGAACTTAATAAAACTTGCAAAAATAGAGATAGAAAGTGAAACTACCAGCAGAATATTCCAAACTATTATTTCTCATAAGCAGCCATTCAATTATGCCAATTTTAGTTGGTTTCTGACTAAATAAATCGAAGAAAAATAATAAGATATGGACATGGTAATGCTATTATCGCAAAGCCTACAAAATAAACAATACCAACAGTCCAACACACAAAATAACAAAACTACTGCTAAATAATAAGACTTGCCAAATGCCAAATGATTGAACTAGGACCCATTAAATTTGATAAAAATGGCAATTTTTATATATATAATTTTTTTATTAATCTTAATGTTAGTTATAAAATATTATTTTGATAATTATGTATTATACTTAAATAATTTAAATATTTATAAGTATACAATAAAATAAATATATTTATATTTTAAGTAACATATTATTTATTAAAATAAAAATGTGAAGAAATATTAATTAATTTTAAATTGTATGAACTTTCATACACTTGATCAATGTTATCAGAACTACCAATCTAGTAGTTAGATTGATAAAAAAAATGTTAAAATTATTTAAGATACAGATATTTTAGAAAATATCAATTAATCATGCCATATGTGTGTGAGGAAAAAGTTCAAGGCCAACTAAATGGGACATAGCCATAAGCCATTGACTATACATAATTCAAAACAAAAAAGCAATTTTTTTTAAAAACTTTATGATAGACACGCCAAATAGAGAAGCAAACAAGAATAGTGAAGAATTTAGCAAAAATAATAATCTGAAAACACATGATTGCTAATTGAACGAAGACATTGCTATTTTAATATGTTTATACTAGTATTTTTATTGTGGGTTATAAGCAATGTTTTGAAATTGAATCGCACTAAGGCTTTTTATTTGTCAGCATCTCTCAGACTCATATCGATGTTAGAGCCCATTAAAAATTAAAATGGCAGTTTCCAGGGAAAATGACACTGAAGCAATAAGATCAAACGTATCCCACTCTGGTTCATCAAAATGAAACACACAACTTGTGGTTTCTGGACTAATTTCCTGTAGTAATATATTTTTATTTTTAATAAACCAGTTTAAAATTATTAGATGTGATTAAAATACGAAAAAGCATGTCTACAAATGACATCACAGGACATTCACATATGAACATTCCTACATTCGAGATCCTTGATGGCTAGAATGATGGTTATTGGTCAAAATTCCCCTAAACCCTGAATTTCATGTTACTGTTTCCAATTAGCTCTTCGATTTTTGTAGTTTGCTTAAGTTAGAATTTACAATCCTTGACTTTGGAAAAGGAATTCAGGATAAAAGCACATGTAGGCCAATTGATTTATTTTCTTAACAAAATAAATATTATTTGATTAATAATATTAAAAATAAGAAAATAAATAAGTTTGAAAATATTATTTGAAGAGTAATTCTAACAAAATATATATTATTTGATTAATAATACTGAAATCACTGTTAAATGTATAACTATTTTTTTAAAAGAATACAACTTTCCTTAATTGATTTTATTTTAATTTAATCTAATATTAAATTATAATAAATTTTAATATACATATAAATGAAATTTTATTTAAAGAAAAGCAATAAAATGTTACTTTCACGCTGAAGCTACTAAAATCAAATTCGAAACCCAAATTTGATTCTAGACACTTCTGAATAAACAATTTAATTAAAAAAATCATAAAATAAGTTACTATCAAATATCAAATCAAATAATAACATTGTATAAACTGAAAAAATCTTATCTTGACAACCAACTTCATAAAATTTATTAAAATATACATTTTTTAAAATGTCGTAAATTACTTACATAAACTCGGCTAAATTTTTTCTAGTATCCCTTTACATTATCTAATGCACACATTAGAGGCAAAATACATCAAAAAGCAGGGAAGGGAGGAGGCTGTCTAACCACAAACCAAACAGGCCTTTATCTTAATTTCCCCCTTGCTTCTCAATACAATATGATCTAAATAGATATACATGGCTGGCATAATAAAGAGGAAAAAAAATCCTAATAAAAATTTATATATATATATATATATATACACACACACACATCATGGGACAAGCAATATCTATTATTTTTCCTTTTCCTTTCGGTACATTTGATATGTATTTTTACATACAAAGAACAATCATTTAAACAACTAACAAAACTAGACACCAAATAATTAACATATTTTATAATCACAAACCCAACCTTCATCCCTCACTAACACATAAATAAAGGGGCAGGAAAGGGTTGAAAGAACAAATGTAGGCATCATGGAACAGATCAGCCACCGTATGTGTCGCATCAATAAATTAAGCCTCATATTTCATCATGAATATTCTCAGGCATGTTGCAACCACTTATTTAATGTCACCCAATAATTTCAAGCAA